TTTATTTAAAAAATTTATATTAATCAGTGATAGTTTGCAAAATTATTAGATCCAAAGTTTCCTAAAGTCTGAAGTTAAGTTTAATTGATTACAAGGTTGTTTGACACAGCTCTGAATGTCTAGCTAGGTTTTCTCACAAAAACATATCATAGTGATATTCAAAACTATTGAAAGAAGTTTAGCTAGTTACCTTAAAGTCACTGTATTTTCTCGTTTTCATTCAATTGACTTGAATAAAGAAACCAATTTGTAAAGTTACTTCCTATTTATTACTGAACTTGAAAGTTATTTCTAATAAGATGATTTCATTTCTAATCCGTGGATAGAAGTTAGTGACCAAAACCTAAATATTAAAACATTTTGGTTTGAAAGTTTCCGACTCATATTGATGTTATTCAAAGGAAAGAAGGGTCTTTTAGGTCACACAACATACGTTAGATATATGGTATATGTAAATTGCTTGAAATCACAAATTATTAAACGGTCATAAACTATATTGTTATAACGGTAGCATGAGTCGGAAAAGAATGCCTGATATAGTGTACACTACATTTCCCCAAATTATGTCAGATATTAGAAGGATTAAATTTTACAGAAAAAGTAATTTTCTTAAATTATTGAAGTTTCAAGATTAATCGACTAATGAAATTAACACAACTATAAAGAATTCGGTTAAACTTTATGTGAACTCAAAATTAGTTTCATTTAGAACTCGAACTCAACGACAGAATTTTGTAACTAGTCTTTACTACACAAAATTAGAGATTCTTTGATAACTAAACAAACAGTGACCAGATTAAAAGTAGAAATAATTGAACCGTTAAAATGCAAACCAATTGACTTATTTAAAAAAGAAACTCCGTAATTATTTTGGAGTTTCGACCTAATAATATTATTTCAAGTCACTATAAACTGTTTACTTCCGTGCGCGAGACAGATAGGTCCTGGGTCCGAATCTCGCTAGGCGAGATAGTGGATGTGCACTACTGAGGAGTCTCAAAATTAGACGAAACGGCCGTCCAGTGCTTTTAGGTTCTCTATGGTGATCTGACTTTAATGATCTCAACTATTAAAATTACTATATCATCAACAAAACCCCTTCTGAAATAAATTATGCTTTAAAGTTAGCATTAGTTTAATGAATAAAGGAAAAAATGCATCAAACATGCATGTGAACAAGGTTGTCTAGACATTAAAGCGAAATAGTATTCCGGAGAATATATTTTTTGAATAAATTACATCATGTTTTATTGTAAACTATGATAATGTATGAACCCCATAAGACTAATAAATTCATAGACATATCAGTCTGGAATAACAGGTAATTTTATAATTGCTTAATGAGATTATCTTACGTTCTCTTTTAATATTTGTTTGGTTCTATCTAATTGAATTTCCTAGTTATCAGTTAGCTTAGATACAATAAATAATATTTAGAACAAAAATATAAGTAGGTGATAATTATCATTTAAGAAATATATCATATACTTATCACTATTCCTAGAAGATAACTTGAATATTCTTTCTCTTGTCAGTTTTTGCGTAAATAACTTTCTTTTAGTCAAAATCATAGTTTTTTTAGTATCGATATTGTAATCTTGATTTAAATCGATATTTTATTCAATTAGAAGACTCTTGTCGGCTGATTAAGTTCTTAGGTCGTTAATAAAATGACTGTTATCTATTAAACACACATACTGCATTAATGTACATTACAATAGTTTAATTCTTTGTTACCGTAAGATATGAGATTGTGTTTTTGCTTTAGAAGGAATTTTTCTAGTCTTAGTAAATTGACTCATTACTTCACATGAAAACAAATAGTTCAAATCAGTTATATCTACACAAATATCTTTTATTTACGTTGCCTCGGTCATTCTGAAATGTTGATACAAATGTGGATTTTTATTCACACTTTTTTCTCTCGTAAATCCATTGAATCATTGTTCATCAATATGGCATTTACAGGATGTGTATATCAAAGGAAAACACAAAAGAAGTTATTCAGTCACCATTTGATATGCTCAACTATTAAGTTAGCTGTATCAGAACATATATAAATCACTGTATACATCAAAATACATTGGACTGTAAAGAATGTTTCTATGGAATGAGTTGTAATTTTTTTATAATCACAGCTTAAATAGCATCGATTTCAATTACACGAAAAGTATTTATTCCTTTAGAGTTGTATATAAATCTTGTTCAAGCTGTACCAACTAGCAAAAAATGTAGATCTAGAAACTTCTCTTGATTGTTTCTAATGATGCAACATTCGCTTTTCTAAATTATGTAAATAATTAAATTGAAATTTTAATTGATTACTTAAAGACACTTTTATTTTCATAAGTTTTACTATATTTTCAATGTGTTACATCAAAAGCCATCTCAAATGATTTATTATATATAAAGGTTTGTATATTCTCGTTTTTGTTCAAAATCATTCAATGTGATCATTAATATCAAACTGATATGATGGAAAGAAAAGTCAATTTCCGATTGATTTACTCATTATGAGTTATTGTTCAAGATTACTTCTGTTTTGATTCAGTGTAATGATGACTCAATGTAGTATTCCTTTTCTTTTCTTATATGATATTTTATTCTGTATAATATGCGATATTCTTGTATTCGATTGACATGAACTATGCTTAGTCTGTGATTTGTTATAACTCTAAGTATTTTTCATATATGTGATTTCATCCTCATTATTAATCACAATGGGTGTACAATCAATATATAAAGGAGTGGATTTTCTACTCGAGTCGTCGTCGTCGTGTCTTGAAGTTAATAAATCATCACTTATACCAGTCTTTGTGTTCTTACTTTCGAGTCGTGGGAATTGCAGAGGTCCCTCGTTCCGAGTATAATTGATAAGCGTTTCCGACTTAACAATCAGCGACGGCCAGATACAAAAGTAGCATTAAAAGAGCCAAGACAATAAGCATTCAAACGACAAGTTATAACACAAACATCTAAAACATTTTAAGATTTCTAATTTTGTTTAAGTTCACTTTGATCCAACTTTACTTTGCACAAAGCTATTTTCCCTTTTTGAGGTTTTAAAGGTAAAAGGTGGATATTACACGGATTATAGTAAAAATACATAAGTTCTGACTTGTACTGGTTATTGTTTATGTGATATCGATGTCTTTATGAGTTGGATATCGTACGACCGCACGAATCGTGCTATTACAACTACAACTACAGTAGCTACTCCTATTAGGACTATATTACTAGTCTTGTAGTTATTGTTGACAATTTCAAAGTATCCTTCATAACCACGTTTTTCATTATTACTCCTAGCTGTATAAAAAGACAATCAATTTATAAGGGTTCACCATTTAAAATTCTTTTTTATGATTTATTGATATTAATTTATCACATGCTGAACGTGAAAGGTTACTATGTCTTTTACCTTAATATTCTCTAATCTTAACTATCTTGTATTTATTACTTGTAAACAGCCTTCTACTTGCCTGTTGTAAATTTTCGAATAATCTCATTGTTGAAATCCAGAAACCTAAATTAGAATTTACCTTGGTGATGATATGAAGAAGAAATAATTGAAAAAATATTCCATCTCATTTCAAATTAGTCTCATATGAATATAAGTAACAATATGATACTAGACAATTATGTAACAACATTTTGTGCATAACAAATCGGTTTATTTACTAGATTACTATGCTATTAACTTTTATTCATTATCATGAATATTATGTCCATTTATATTTTCAGATGAAAACAACAACAACAGAATAACAAATGCCTAAATATAAAACAATGTTACATTTATCATTACCTTTTGTGTTAAAGTATATTTACGGTTGCCTTTTCTTTCAGATTAGTGTTTATAATATGTCGTGTGAAAGTTATTATTGTGATCCAATATGTAATATTGAATAAAATAAAAACATAATGTTCAGATATCAAGAATTGCACAGTCTGAGGATAGACAAATTCATAAGAAAGTTCTTGTCATACAGATTTGTTGTATATTAATAATAATAATAATAATAATAATAATAATAATAATAATAATAATAATAATAATAATAATAATAATAATAATAATAATAATAATAATAATAATAATAGATAAAAAGTTGAATAACTTAGGACCCTTTCGAAGATTATTCTATTTTATAAATTTTATTCGTCATTGATTGATCTCAGATAAGTAACCTTTGAAAACCATAGAACATTGCCTCATTGTGGTATTTTCCCAACTGTGTTCATCAGTAGTTCGAACGGTCGAGTATTTATCATGAATTCTATGATTAAAAACATCTGGTCAAGTTGATCGCTCTGTTGCATTAATTTCTTTTTTCATTCAAAGGTTGTTCACAGTTTATAAAAAATACTACAGTTGAACAAAATCAGTAGGATATTTTAGTTGTTAACTTGAATAAAATAATTCAAATGTGAGTTTGTGAAACAAAATATTTTATTATGGTATAAATTCACAAAGAACAGTTTTAAGATATAGGATCTTATTGTCAATTAAACATTATATCTTTCAATAAAGCTGTAGTAGTTCAGAAAATATTCAATTATCAGATCGTTAATGAGATTATTTTCATAATTAGTAGGTTCGTAGCATTCACTTTATCAGTTTTCTGCTCCAGAATTAATATTTTCACTTTACAATACTTAGTTTTCTTTTAAGTTAATTTCATATTAGGAAAGCAATTACACTAATGAGATTAAAAATATCAATTTATTCAGTTCATCTAACAAAAGATTAATTCGAGACTTAACGGTTTGTGATGAAAAACAGAAAACTTTTCTTGTTAAATAACCTGTGATGGAATCTTGTCATTACAACTAAAAGTGTAGCATGCTATGAAAGTTTATACGACAGCTAAACATTGAATGGTTGTTTACTTACATTTCTTGGAAGAAGGAGAAGGGTAATATTTCCTCATCATCACATTTATGAAACAGTTTTTCTAGTAAAATCATGTATTTGCGGCATCCTTAACATAACTGCCAAATTAAAAGATATCACTTAATTTATCTATTTTTTTTAGTTTAAATTTGAGCATATTTACAAAATGAGATTTCTACAAATTTTGATGATATTAGTCTTATTATCAGTTTCATGTGTTCTACCTTTACAATCTGGTCGATTACTTGATTTAATTCAACGACAGAAAATATTAGCACCAAATGAATTAGAATTAGATGATCCACTAGAATTTCAAAAACTGTTCTATCGACCACGGAAACCAAAAGATTCCGGAGAAGGATACCAAAGATATTATGGGAATTTAATGAGATATGGTCGTTGATAAACAAAAACATTTGTATTCTACGTCGAGAATTCAAAACTAACAAATTATTTGTTAAATATTAAAAGTATGAAATACAAAATTGATGTTATTCTTCTAAAATGTATTTTGCATTTTAAATTATTTTATGTGAGTCTATTTCCTGAAAAATAAAGTTTTGCTTGAAGTATAATAGGAATTAGATATCCTAATCTTTATACCATGGGATCCTGACACATTCTGTGAATTTATTTTTAGTAGTGAAGATCATTTATTTTGGTGGCATTTTATTTATGTAAACTTGATCACATTCTATAGAATCTAAATGACTTCGTTGGTCGATAAAAGGTGCCAGATGTTTGTGACTCAGTACGTAAGAGCTAATAAATTCATCGAAATCATACCTTTATTTGTTGAACTCGTATTTCGCCGATAATCAAAATGATCACTAACTACTTTAAAATAGAAACTGTGACTCTTCAAAAAGTAGTGTAACGTTCAGTTATAGGATACAATTTCGTTAAACCGTCCGTTTAAGCTGAATTACTAATAATGACTAATAAAACCAGGTATTATTAATCATGGGAGTGAAAAACCTAAATTATAACTTTAAGGCTTGGATAGTGATTAATATAAGAGTCCACAATACAAAACTTATGAATGTGCAAATTTTTCGAAATATATCTTCGTTCTAGAGTTTATTGATGTTCGTTTTAAGATTCAAATGTCACCTAATGACTGAATTGAATAACTCTGGGTTGAACACATGATAATTCCTCATCGACTCATCTGTGTCAAAAATTTCACCAAAATTAAAATATCTAGATCTAAGGACAGAGATAAATATCTATTAGAAATTTGTGTATATGCTTATATGCAAGTAAACTTGGGAAATAAAATTTGATGTCTTACGAAAAGTGTTTACATTCACAATAACATATCGTTAACCCTAGTTGTGGCCTAGAGGAAGTCCTTTCAAACGGCTGCAAAATAAAAATATTTTTTCCTAGAATACCACGACTCCATTTGTTACCTCGCTATTGTTGGCTGTCCCGTTCGGTTAACCTCTAAACATGAAATTGGTTGATCATTTCTGTATGAACTAACAAATTAGATCTGTGTTCACATGTTTGATGACTTAGGTTGATTAGAATAGAAGCTTCCAGGGATTTTCGGGTTTTCTAGAAACCCTTTTATGAAGTTGTTGCCATAGGAATTAATAGAGGATACGTACAGAAGTTGTTTTTCTTCAATTTCCAGTGCATTGGTAGTGTTGTGATAATGTATGATTCTTGTGTATAAGATATGTACACATTTCCTGTGTGTTGCTGAGTTGTTGCTGTTGCGGTTTAGCCTATTATCCACGAGTATTTGCTCTTCGTATATTTATGTTTCCAAGGTTATTATGTTTGTTCAGTTGACTAAGCTATCCAACAATAAATCTTTTGTTTTCCGATTCTAATTCTTTTGTAAATTTAATGTTGTTGAAGCTGTTGTTAACCAACTTATGTGTATTCTGGTAAAAGTGTCGCCTTGTACTGATTATGTCATTAAGAAGAATATGTAAGACCTTAATAATGATCTATATTTGACCGTTAACTGTAGTCAACATAATCTGTACTTTAACTGATGCTGGATGGTGTTTTGGTGAGCCTCGTGTTTATCCTAACGGTTATATTATTTATCATTTCATGCAATTTACTGGTTTATTTTTTTCTCGTAATGTCATCTCCCACTAAACTCATTGATATGGATTCGCCTCCAGTAACAACTTTTGTCTCATTGTCGAACTCTCCTGAAAATAATTTTAGTTCAGTTAATTCTATCTCAGAATTCAGACTCCCAACTTATGGAGCTAATAACCCAAGAGTCTGGTTTGCACAAATTGAAGCTTTGTTCATGGCTAGAGGCATAAGATCTCAGGCATCAAAGTATGCATATGTAGTCGGCGCACTTCCTATTGAGATTGCCGCTGAAGTCGGGGATTTAATCGATCACGTGCCAGAATCTGAACCATATGATAAGATAAAAGCAGCAGTAATTCAACGTACATCGGTCTCAGATGAGAAAAGGCTACAACAATTGCTAACGTCTTGTGACTTGGGAGATAAAAGACCCTCTCAACTTCTCCGCCACATAAAACAACTCGCCGGTCCATACAAGCTAGACGAAGTCCTCCTAAAGCAAATGTGGTTTCAAAGATTACCACACAGCGTTAGACAAATTCTCAGTGTCTCAGGGAAATCTGTCGCACTTGATGACTTAGCCGACATGGCGGATAAAATGATGGAAGTCTACCATGATAGTCACTGTGTGAACTCATTGCAACCACCTGGACCAGCAGATATTAGCTGTCTAGCCTCCTCTCAAAAGCAGTTAACGCAATTAACGAGCCAGCTGGCGTCTCTGCAATCGACCATAGCAACCATCCAAGCTAGACAACCGAGATCCCCCTCTAAACGAAGATCTTTTTCCAGACAACGGTCTCGGTCACCGAAGCGAACATCTGAAGTTTGTTGGTACCACCAAAAATACGGCACCAAAGCACGGCGTTGCACACAACCGTGCACATTTTCTGCGGCTGACACAGAGAATCAGGGAAACGGCCCGGCCAGACAGTGATGGCGGCGCCTGTTTCTGGCCACTACCCGAGCCGTCTATTTCATGTCAGGGATCGAATTTCGGGCTCAGATTTTTTGGTCGATACAGGAGCCGAAATCAGCATCATCCCATTACACCTCTCTCAACGACGGCACCCTCAGAGTACTAAATTGTCTCTAGTCGCAGCCAATAACACAGTCATTAAAACTTGTGGCGAACAATCACTTATCTTAGATCTCGGTCTCCGGAGACGTTTCACATGGGTTTTCATCGTAGCTGAAATCAAACAACCCATTATCGGGGCCGACTTTCTCAGTGCTTACAACCTACTTGTAAATATGGGGAAAAAGAAACTAATCGACAAAAACACAAGCTTACAGGTCAGTGGCACAACTATCTCCAGTTACGAAATACATGGAGTCCGTATGTTAAAACCTGAAAACAAAATTTTCACCGATATCCTGTCGAGGTATGAAAGTATAACCAGAGCTGATTATCAAAGCGAACACTCCACACATCATGTTCAACACAGTATTACTACTACAGGACCACCCATTCGCGCCAGGGCGAGAAGACTCCCTCCAAACAAGTTGCAGTTCGCTAAGAGAGAATTCGAACACATGATGCAACTTGGGATAATCAGACAGTCTAACAGTCTTTGGGCCTCGCCGCTGCATATGGTTCCCAAGAAAGATCAAGACTGGCGCCCATGTGGAGATTATCGCCGATTGAATAACCAGACTATCCCAGACCGGTATCCGATCCCTCATCTGCATGATTTTTCTTTAAATCTACATGGAAAACAGATCTTTTCAAAGTTAGATCTAGTCCGAGCATACCATCAAATACCGATGGCACCTGAGGATATCGAGAAAACAGCCGTAATCACACCTTTTGGCTTGTTTGAATTCTTGAGGATGCCTTTCGGACTAAAAAAACGCCGCTCAAACCTTTCAGAGATTTATGGACAAAGTAACTAGAGGTTTGGATTTTGTGTTTGTCTATATCGACGATGTTTTAATCGCTAGTTCTTCCACTGAAGAACATGTTCAGCACTTACACACGCTTTTTGAACGTTTCAAAAGTTATGGTGTTGTAATCAACCCTTCGAAGTGTATATTTGGCGCCCCATCCCTGGAATTCCTGGGACACCACATTGATTCTCAAGGAATTAAACCACTTGAAGATAAAGTCAAAGCCATCACCAGCTATCCAAAACCAACCTCAGTAAAATCACTGCGTCGTTTTCTTGGAACATGCAATTTTTATCGACGATTTCTACCAAATTGTGCCGATGTACTACAGCCATTGACAGATTTACTGAAAAACGATAAATCAGGTACCAAGAAAGAAAAGAACCAAATATTCAAGTTACCTTCCGATGCCAAAGTAGCATTTGAAAAAGCTAAATCCATGATTGCTAATGCTACCATGCTCCAACACCTAAATACTGACCCCACAACACTGTTGATCCTATGCACGGATGCTTCACAAAAAGCCGTAGGGGCAGTATTACAACAGCGGGTAAACAACACGATTACCCCCATTGCCTTTTTCTCCAAGAGATTATCGCCAGCACAAGAACGTTATAGTACTTTTGGACGCGAACTCTTAGCTATGTATTTAGCAGTAAAACATTTCAACTTTTTGCTACAGGGTCGTGATTTCATCATTATGACAGATCACAAACCCCTGTGCCATTCTTTTAGCACATCGTATGACAAACATTCCCCACGAGAAGCAAGACAACTTGATTATATCTCCCAATTTACCACAGACATCAGGTTTATCAAAGGTCACACAAACATTGTCGCAGATGCACTATCTAGGAGGGATATCAATACGATGGTACTCAATCATGACATCAGCCTTGAAACCTTGGCTAAATTACAAGCACATGATGCAGAATTGAAAGCCTGCAAAGAAAAGTCTAGCTTAGATCTCAAACCTGTACCAATTCCTCTTTCAGATGCATTTATCATGTGCGACACTTCAACAGGCAACAATCGTCCGTTTGTCCCACACGCTTGCCGACGAAAAATATTTCAGCACTTGCACGGTCTTTCACATCCAGGCATCAGAGCAACAACAAAGCTCATTACCGAACGTTTTGTGTGGCCTAAAATCAACTCGGATGTTAAACGTTGGACACGTAGCTGTCTCCAGTGCCAACGCAGTGAGACGCAAAAACACACCTACAGTCCAATTGGGAAGTTCCCTATCCCTGACAAACGCTTCCAGCACGTGCATTTAGATTAAGTTGGGCCTCTGCCACCATCAAACTCTTTCACACATATCCTCACCGCAATAGATAGGTTCACAAGATGGGTCATAGCATGCCCTATAAAAGACACTCCGGCAGAAACAGTCGCTTCAGTTTTCCTCGACCGCTGGATATCCAACTTTGGCGTACCATCAACAATCACAACAGACCGCGGTCCCCAATTCCAGTCCGTCCTATTTAACGAGTTCACTAAACTTCTTGGAGTAAATCATGTTAAAACGACAGCTTATCATCCGGCAGCTAACGGCATGGTTGAAAGATTCCATCGCCAACTAAAAAGCTCTCTGATGGCACAACCGGACTCTTCAAAATGGAGCGATGCTTTACCGCTCGTTCTCCTTGGGATTCGCTCGTCAGTAAAGGAAGACATCGGATGCACAGCTGCTGAACTAGTCTATGGCACGACATTAACGTTACCAGGACAACTGGTCAAGAATGAACCCACAACGCCAGGAGACCCTCCTCGTTTTGTAAGCAGATTACTACAAATGATGCAGAACATCAGAGCAATACC